GTGAGTAAAATAAGGACAGGCCTTTCATTTTTAGGTGCAAACATCCTTTAAGTGTAAATTGACTAGCGAATACTTTGAGTATACAAATCAAATAGAGAGATGTATGTATGGAAAGAGAGTTTGAATGATAGCCCTGTAAAGGAGACTAAAGTCTGGCTAATGTCTGTCAGGAATGTCAAAGCGGATTCTGTCTATATATCACAAAAATGCATAATTTCCAGACTCTTCAACCCCCAGCACTGTGGTCCGTCTGAATCTGAGGTGAAGGGGAGGTGCAGGTGTAAACCCACCTCCTCCCGTCAAACACTGCACATATACATATATATATATATATATATATATATATATGCATATACTTGTCAATAGCCTCTTATAAGAGAAAAGTTCCACTTGCTCATCTAAAACGTTCTACTTCTTCATGCGAGACACGAAGAAAAACAGGTTAATGCACTATATATGTAAATTAGCTTCTGAGCACTGAAGGTGTTTTTATACGAGTCTCAAAGTTACTAAACACATAAACAGTTTTCGGTGCTAAAATAAGACAGAACCCAACTTCACATATTTTGACAGATAAATCTCTTGCTTTTCTTTCAACTGTCACAGTTATAACTTCATAGGCATATTATGACATTTTCCAGGCATTCATATTACATCATAACACACTTGCTAATAAACCATGTGAGAATGTTACATAGATACATGCAAAGCCTCCACTGTTTCTACATTATATACATTTTTTATTGTATTTACATTGGTAGACTATATATATATATACATTACATTCTATTACAAATCTAAAATGGACATTTCCCTTTCCTTGTTTTCATAGCGCTAACATTTTGAGAAAGTATTTTTATTAGCTACAACATTGATGTAAATTACATTTTACATAAATTCAATTACATAACAAAAACTACATATAATTTTAAGAAATGCTGGGTGGCCTGGATAGTTCGCCCCCCCCCCCCCCCCCCCAAAAAAAAAATCTGTCATTCTGTCGTTCCAAACCCATAAGACGTTCGTTTATCTTCGTTCGGCCACATTTCTCTTCCTCCATTTAAAGTGCATTTTCACTTGGATTGGAGATTTGGATTAAACTGCTAGATTTGGTGGAGGGATAGAAATCTCCAGCGCTATCTCACGACCAATTCAGACGAATTCGTATGAGTAATTAAAACGTGGCTAATTCGTACTAATTCATACGACCTCACTCGTACGAATTCATATGATTTGTCTAAACCCACGTGATGGATAGGTTTAGGGGCGTGGTCAGGGGTAGGTCATTCGTACGAATTCATGCAAATTGACCAATTCGTTAAATATGTACGATTTAGCAAAAATTGTACTAATTCGTACGAGTGAGTTCGTATGAATTGTTACGAATTAGCCATCTAGTAAAATTCGTACGAATTCCCTTGAGATCGGGTTGAAATCTCTCACAATTTCTTGGATTTCACCATTTTGGTGGCTAAATCGAATGAATTCGTACAATCTGTTTATTCCCCAGTGATGGCTAGGTTTAGCGATGGGGTTAGGGGTGAACTTTCAATGTTTACTTTTTGCTAAAATAAACTATTTTTGTTCAAATCACATTGTATGAGTTCAAATGAAATCACGATCTCATAAAATAGTACACCTAACAACATGTGGGTGAGTAAATGATGACAGAATGTTCATTAAAAGTAGTATTTTAACTAGGGCTGTCAGTTAAACGCATTATTAATAGCATTAACCCAAACCCATTTTAACGGCGTCAATTTTTTTTATTGCGCGATTAACGGTCTTTTTGCCCTAGCAAACTTTGTAGTGTTTTTTTTTTTTAATTTTTCAATTTCAGTTAATTTCAATGGCTTGCGCCGCACAAGAAAGTTTTGTTGCTTCGTTTTTTGTTTTGTTTTGTTTTTGTTGCGCAAAGCAAGCCGATCCACTTTTCCAAGTTGAAAAGAGCATTAAAATGAGAACAAATAATGTGAGGAAAAATAAATCAAGAGACATTTAGAATAGATAAAAATGTGCGAATTAATTGCAAGTTTTTGACATTAATGCGATTAATCGCGATATAAATATTTTAATTGTTTGACAGCACTAATTTTAACATAGTTTATATACAGTATACAAGAATAAATGTTAGATTACAAGTTAGTCAGAGCGCATACTTTTAGCCATCGATAAATAAATGCTTTAGGAAAACTCAAACTCTGTCATTATCATGTAATTTGAGATTTACATATCATAAACACTGTAGTGTTTTAAAACATCTTAACAATAGCTGACAGTTAGCAGCTTGGGCTAGTCGTGCTATAGATGCCTGTGCGTGCGTGCGGATATGAAGTGGTGGGCATGCATTTCGCAGGAGCTGTGAACTTGTTGCATGTAGTTCACCCTATTCAAATAAACATACCTGCTACTCACTCAGGCCATAATTCACACTCATCTCTCATCTCTGTCAGCATTTTTCTCTCTCTCTCATACACACATCACTCACTGCCAACAACATGAAGAGGTTACATCATGCTAAACATTCAGAGTCAGGGTCATGAAGACACAAACAGTGTTTCCTTATCTTCTGCCTTCTGTCACATTGCAGCCAGGTGTTATGCCAACTGAAAGTGGCTCAGGAACTTCACTCTCTTGTGGTTTTTGCATAAATGATTGCACTTGCACTTGTTTGTGTGCTTGTGATATTTGATTATTTGGCGAAAAAATCGATGTGTCTGTCAAACAACATACAGCACAGCTGATTTAAGGTACTCAACTCAAAAAAGTGAGTAAATAATGACTATTTTTTTGGATGAGCTGTTCTTGTAAGGTCCAAACGAGGCTAAAGCTAGTTTTGCTAATGCTAACATATGAGCTTTTCTGTGCTCCTGCAGATGAAGGGTGTCAGGATTGTGGGAAAGGTGAAAGGTGAGGGAGCAGATAGTAAGTAAAGGAAGTCAGGGGCCTGTCCTGACCCCTCAGAGATTCTGCCAGGGGACCAGACACCAGATAAAACGATTGTTTGTGTGAGTGCTTATGACTGATAGGCTGCAAACAGGAACACACTGTAAAGGAGTCTTGTTTGGAAAGATATAGAAAGGGTGGGAGAGAGGTAAATCAGACCCTTGTGAAAAAGATGAGTGCTTAAAATGTGCAATTCAAATCTTAAAAGTATATTTGAACTACTTAAATGTTAATCAAATTAAAATACCACTTAAATGTTCTTATAGAGTTTTTATACAATTTGAATGACTTCTTAACACTCACTTTTATGAAGTGCACTTTGTAATAATGGCAAATTAAATGTTTTACTTTAAAGTATGTTTTAATCATTGTGTTTTAAGAACCTTTTGTCATGCTTTTAAGACGTACATTTATTTTGATGTGTTGACTAATGTATTTACGCACATGTAAAGTGCTTGAGCATAATTGTAGCTGTACTATAACTTGATACTTAATTTAATTTAAAAACCAATAGAAGTAATTATGAAATTGCATATAAAGATATACTTATAAGCGGTTCAAAAAGCACTCTAAAGTTCAGCACGTACTGTAATTAGGTGTCTGAAACCATGCATTCAGTTTGTATAAGTACTGTATATTCTTTCACAGTATATTATTTACATAATAAGTACTCTTTTTTTAAATTATGCTGAAGTATACTTCTTTTTCGCTAGACACAGGTCTGAAAAAAAGATGAGGCTGAGAGAATAAAGACAAAGATGCCCTCACAAGTTAGGCTGAGATGTATTTTAAAGGGGTCATGTCATTTCCCATCCTATTTCTGACCCTTAAACCTAAATGCTGCATTTTTAAGAAAAGTGTTTGTCCAATTGTTCTGTGCTCTGCGCATTTCAAAGCCCCATTCATGAAAACATTGCTTTGCTGCTCTCTTGCCCAGGTTTAAATGTATAGTTTTCAACTGCTCCATACCTAAATAACAGCTTTGCGGATGCTGTATTACACTCTGACAGGCTTGCAAAGCAATATGATTAAATGTCCAGTTGAAATCCTCCCATTGAATACTATCCCCCTTCTTCAATACCTTACAGTTTGTCATAAACTAAGCACACACTCGCAATATCTTGATCTAATCAAGAGCTTAGTTGTGTCCCATATGACACACTGTACACTATGCACTTATACATTAAGTACGCGCTATTTATTCAACTGTGTAGTGAATGAATTTTATAAAGTTATTTTGTCATTCAACATGTGATAAACACAACATCGGGAAACTTGATTTGTTTTATATTTGTTGTATGATTTAAAGTGGTCCGGTTTTTGGGGTGTAACAGAATATGCTTTCATGCGTAATTGTTCAAAAAACCTAATTTTTTTCCCCATATTTTACATTATTACTGCATCTCTCTCTTTAATCTGTCCTGAAAACGTTGTTGGTTCCTTGGCAGCGCTTAGTGTGTGATCAGGAAATGTCCCGCCCCTTACCATAAGTTTCATCTACTCAGGTGTAAATATTGAAGGGGTCATCGGATGCCCATTTTCCACAAGTTGGTATGATTCTTTAGGGTCTTCATGTAAATTTTGTAACATACTTTGGTTAAAACTCCTCAATGGTTGTGTAAAACACACTTTTTACCTCCTCAAAAACAGCTCTCACAGCGACCCGTTTCGGTGCATGTCTCTTTAAATGATAATGAGCAACTGCTGACCCCACCCCTCTCTTCCATGGGGTGTCAACACAAGACGTGTAAAGTGATGCCTTGGCAAAAAGTATACAAAATGGCTGAGGGTGGAAATATGCAAATACAAGACAGTCTGTCTTCAGTCGTGGGCGGAGCATGAGCAATATGACATCATATTTTACAGAAAATCCAACTGGCTTGATTATTGAGAGGGTTTAGACTTTGAGGATTAAAAAAAAATGAGTTAATGGATTTTTTCATTGTATGGTCGTTGTGTCCACACACACTGCAAACACACATTTATATGCAAACATCATATACAAGTGAATTTTGCATCCGATGAGGATGTCATCAATTAAGGATGACATCAAT